CCCTGGATTTTATAATTCTGTTTTCGGAACAACACTAATCTGGCGTTTTCGCCTTCCAGCTCTGAAGCGTCCTTCCCCTTGACCCACTTGCGAGGGAACAGTCGCTGCTGGAGGGCCGCGGGGTCGCGAGCAGAGGCAGCGGGAGCTCTGCCTGGCTGTGTGTCTTCCCGTCCTGGCTCTCAGGCCTGCGGCTGGGGCGCTCACACGTGGGGCCCGGGCGGCTGACAGGTGGGGCTCGGGCAGCTGACAGGTGGGGCCCGGGCGGCTGACAGGTGGGGCTCGGGCAGCTGACAGGTGGGGCTCGGGCCTCTGACAGGTGGGGCTCAGGCGGCTCACAGGTGGGGCCCGGGCGGCTGACAGGTGGGGCCGAGGCTTGCTGCTTTCCGGGAGGACCACCCCGAGGGGGCGCTGCGCTCACGGCAGGGCCTGCAGGTTCGCGTCCGCGGCATCCTCCTGCAGCTCCGCCATTGCAGACGGTGTGAGCGCCGTCCGCAGTCTCCTCCACCTGCAACTGCATGCACCCGGGGTATCCCTGGAACCCCATCAAGTGCTGCTTGCCCAGGAGCCCGGCTGTGGTGGCGGGGCAGGTCAGCATGCACAGCGGTTTGCCATTGTCTGGGCGGGGGCTGGCCTCCAGGAGCCAAGAGTTTCCATGATGAAGCCCATCTCCCTACGATGCCCTCTGCTCCCCAGGAAAATATAAAGGCAGCTGTGGTCGTTCGGAGGCTACACCTCGCCGAGGCCAAGGTGGAGGGGCTGGGGCGCAGTGGGGCGCAGCGCAGGGAGCCGGGTGGGTCTCGGCTGCTGAGCTGGGCCCCTTCGGAAGCCCCTTGAAAGCTGGAAGGGCTCACGGAACCTCTGTGCCAGGCGGAGCGGCTGAGCCGGGAGACACAGGCGGGCCTTGGCTCTGGAGGCCGCCGGGTGCCAGCGCGTTTTCAGGTACAGATGAGAACTAAGAAATCCAGGGCAGATACCGGAGGCCATCAGCCCCGACACTCAGGGGCGAGCCAGACCTTCGACGCGCGCTGCCAGCACAGCCTTCTCCGCATCGCCCAGTTCAGCTCCAATCCTGGGCGCGAGATGAGCCCTTGGGGAGCCCTGCAAGTGGAGAGAGCCGATTCAGGGCGCGCCCGGCCCCGAGGCCCGCTGAGTGCCCCCCTGCCTCGGCCGCCCCAGGCTGGCGTCGGGGCCCCTGGCATCCGGGATCCACGCCAAGCTGCCTCTCTGCCTCCCGGACGACGCCGCAGCTCCGCCGTAACCCGGGCGCGCACCTCATTCCTGGCTTCTGGGAAGATTCTTGGCCAGCCCTGTTCGCCCTGAATCATCCTGGTTTCTTAAAATAATCTGAAGCGTGCCAGAGCTCCTGGAGCCGAAACCGCACGTCTGAAGGCGCCGCGATCCCGCCCAGGACAGTGGGCGGAGCCTAGTGCCGGTCCCCCGCGTGCGCGGGCGGCCATCAGCAGGACACTCCGCCACCCGGTCCAGCCTCCAGCCTCCACCTCGTCCGCCTCAGCCTCGGTCGGCTCCACCGCCCGCGGGTCTAGTGGATGGAAAACGTCCACGGGTTGCAACGCCAGTGCCGGCCAGTGTCTCTGTACCCACTGACCCGCCATCATGACCAGACAGTCGGTGGCATAATCGCCATCACCCCCAGAGACCGTGGGGAGGCGGAGGCCACTGCGTTCCTCCAGAGTGGATGGGACCAAGGTGGCTTTGATCTCAGAGCTCCGCCCAACCCTCTCTGGCCCCAGGCACCAGCAGCCAAGCTGCAGGACCCGCAGAAGCTGAGGGCCGAAGCCCATGGCCGTGTGTCCGGAGGAGACAGGGGAGAGCTGCCCAGGACGAGCTCACTCTGCAGCCCAGGCTCCCCTCCCGGGGGGGAGGTGTGACTGCCCCCCTCTACGCCGAGGCCACTGAGTTGGGAGCGTTTGGGGACTTCCGGCCAGGCTGAGTCGGGACCTGGGTTGAGTCACCCCACCGCCCTGGCCGTGGGAGCGGGCACGTTAAAGGTGGCCTCTGTGCCATCCCGGAGCCGCCTTCTCCTGGGACGCTTGCAAGCACGCACAGTTGGGGTTTCTCTGCCATCCGGCGGGTGTCGTGTCCAGACACCAGCGTTGTACATGCAAAAGGACGCCAGGTCAGAGGGTGAGGAGCTCGCCTGCTGAGAAGTGTGTCGAGAGTCCCTCAGACTCACTGCAGTAAATGATCAGATAAGCGCACGGTAAGCCCTGAGATCACTTTCAGCCACAGGCTCCTGCACTGTTCTGAGGCGTGCTGGCACAGGCCGGCCACAGGTCCCCTGAAGCCCAGCTGCGGGCGGTTGGGGCGCCGGGGCTCCGGAGCAGAGCCCACAGGCCCGGAGACGGAGGGAGACCCAGCACGGGGCCGGGCTGTGCTCTCGGTGGGCTCCGGTCTCTTGGGCCAGCTCACTCCATACGTGGGGCCGACGACGGGAGCCCAGCCCAGTGGCGAGCGGCACCTAACCACGCGGTCCGATGACTCGTGGTCCCTGAAAGCGGGCCCCACCCTCTTCGGGGTCCTTTGTCCCAGCAGCTCCAGGAAGGCGGCGGCCCCCAGAATGACTCCTCAGGTCCCCAAACACGGAAGCAGTGCAGGGGCAGGGAGACACACAGACCTTCGGGCAGGTCCGGCCTTCGTCCCTGGGGGTGGCCCGTGCGCAAAGGGGAGGCGGCTCTGTGCCCGGGTGGGGGTGAGTGTGGCAGGGGCAGGATGGGGGGCCCGGCTGGGCCAGCGCCCCCCGTTGGCGATGGCTGGGACAGGAGGGCTGAGGGCAGGTCATCTGGCTGTGATTCCGGCGCTTGTCCTCCGGTGGCCTGAGCCAGCGCAGCCTGAGCACCTTCCTGACACCAGGGCGAGCTCCGGGCTTGGGGACACTTGGTCGGAGTCAGCGGCTGGGGAGTGGGGACACCCAGGCCCCACACAGCCTTGCAATAGTGAGCCTTCACTCAACAAGACGTTTCACCTCCTACCCCACCTTGTCCACACCCCACCGGCCCCTCGTGTCCTGCAAGGTGCTGGGCCCGGTGGTCAGGCCTGGGGCGCGTGACCTGCCCTGACTCAGACTCCAGGGCTCTGGGTGGGAGGCTCAGCCCAGGGCAGGCTGCTCCCACTCTTCAAGGACAAGCACCCCGGACAGCTGCACCCGGCTTCCCTGCGGGTGAGCCCAGCCCATGGAAGGGGGCTCTGGTCCCTGGAGGACCTTCCTCACGCCGTCTCAGGGGCTGTTTGCTAGAACCTTCTGTGTGTGCATTTACCCCTTTTCCTCCCTCTGGGTGAACAGATCGTTGCCGCCTGCCTGCACAGAGCGCCCAGGGCCGGGAGGCCTCTCTGTGGCCTCAGGCTCCTTTCCAGAGGTGCACCTGTGCCCCTTGGGTCTCCATCCCCCACCACAGGGCAGCCTGAGCTGCGTCTGGAGTCCCACCCCGGGGAGTCGGCTCCAGGGCCCAGAGCCAGGGGCAGCTTCTCAGCCGCATGGGGCCAACACTGTGGTGCCTGGACCCCCCGGGGGCTCCCTCCCTCCCTCCATGGGGGATATGGCTTATTTTTTTTAAAGATTTATCTATGTGTGCATACAGAACTGGGGTGCAGGCCAGAGGCGCAGGGGGTGAGAGGAATCACCAACAGAACAGGCCAAGTGATGAAGTACTCTGCTTCAGGTCAGGAGAGGTCTGCCGCGCCATGTGGTCACCTCAGGGTGGGGATCGAACTCATGCTCAGGTGGCTTTAGCTTCTCACTGCTGTGCTTACCCGCCGCGCCGCCAGGGAGGCCGGGATGTCTAGTTTTATCTTCAGAAGCGATGGCGCTGGGCTTATTTCCCTTAAGTCGGAGGTTGGACTTGGGCTCGCAGTGGGATGAGGCACCTGGAAGGAGCCTCGTGGCTCCTGGGCCTGCACATTAAAACCCAAGGTGCCACCCTGCCCCGGTGCCCGCGGGTGACTGCGGGGTGGCCCGGAGTGGTGACGCTGGAGGAAGGGGGTCATCAGGGGAGGGCAAACGCCGATGGTGCCCGTGTGGCCTCCACAGAACTGAGCTCAGGGACCGGCGTAAACAAGGACACTTGAAACCAGACTGCAGACCTGACCGTGCGGGGTGCGGGGGCAAAGCAAAGGGGAGCGGGCCCGGGCGGGGGATGGGGTGGGGCCGCAGGTGTGTGGGGTGGCAGCCCCGAGGTGCCAGCCGCAGCCCTGCCTGGCTCCGGTGGTGCTGACCCACGTGACCTGCCTGGCTCCGGTGGTGCTGACCCACGTGACCT